TGTGCCCGCGGGGCTTCCGGGTGGTCCCGGCTGAGGAGTGCTGGATGAAGTCCCTGGCGCCGCTGATGGCGGAGGTGCGGAGGCAGATGGGCGACAAGCCGGTCTACATCAGTTTTGATATCGATGGAGTCGACCCTGCGTACGCCCCGGGCACCGGGACGCCGGAGATAGCCGGGCTCACACCTGCGCAGGTAAGGGGGAGCACGGCTTCGTTTCCCAGCGGGAAGGGGACAGTTTTGCTCCCGGGAAAGGAGGTCGTGGTGCCAGCGCAGCGAAGGGAAGGGTTGCGGAGGCCCGGGAGCTTTTCGTAGCTGTGAGGAGGAGAGGAAACGCTGAAGCGATGTGATTCGGTCCGTATAGGCTGGGTTTGCTCAGCTGTGCACGGGGGAAGCAGAGCCGTGACCGGTCCGCTGGGTCAGGTGTGTTTCTGGATCCCAAATCTGTTTTCTTCCTAGGCTTTGGAGATCATTCGTGGCTGCAAAGGGCTGAGCGTGGTGGGCTGCGACCTGGTGGAAGTGGCCCCGATGTACGACGTCTCCGGTGAGCCTGAAGACGGTTGCGAGTGAGGCGTGTGCCTGGTGGAGGCGGCCGCCCCCCCCCGGGGGAAGGCCTCACGGCTCGTTTTTTTTCCCCCTTTTCATCTTTTCTCAGGCAACACAGCCCTCCTGGGGGCAAACCTGCTCTTCGAGATGCTGTGTGTCCTCCCCGGAGTGAAGACGGTGTGAGGGCAGGTCCCGCCTGCCCCGGGGGCAACGCGGCTCCACCTCAGCCGAGCCTTTCCGCGCCCCGTTCCCCTCGACCGGTGTTGCTGACCGCGGGCTTGGAGTCAGGAATAAATGGCATTTATCGCTAGAAAAGGTAATGTTAAGCTGATAAAGCATAGGTAGCAGATGGGTTCGAGCAGCCCGTTTAACTGGTGTCTGTAGGTTGTGAGTTTGCCTGGGAAAGGACAGAAGGAGGCTAACGGCGGCGTTGTGCCTCTGCTTTCCCAGCTGGAATGACTCCCCCAGCTCGTAGGTGCTCATGGCAAAACGGTCGCTGGGGAAAGGTTCCTCCCGTTAGGACGCAGCAGCGGGACAGGGAGGGAAGAAGAGGAGCCGAAGGTGGCCTGGGGCTCGTCTGGAGCGCGGGGGGCTGTTTGGCTGAATGTCCCGCTGGGGATAACCAGGCATCTCCTAGGGCAGGAGCGGTTTAATTCCTCCTGGGATTTCTGAGCTGAGGCGGGGGCGAGGTTAGTTTGCACATGGAGACACAGAGCCACCTCATCACACATTAAAATAGTTTATTTTGGTTGCGAATCCGTCATTGTCTTAAAACAAAATGACATTGGTGCCTGTACACAAATACCAAAAAAAACCAAAACAACCCAACACGCCAAAAATAAAAAAGACAAGTTTGCCAAATAAGTTAATTTCCCCCTCCCAGGATCTAAAGTGCAAAGTATGTCCCTAGCTCTCTGTCCCGCCTCGCAGGCCGGGGGAGCCGCCGGCTCCCGGCAGGCTC